GCAGAGTGGACAGGGCACGTGACATATTCAGAGGACATGCCTGGCAATAGTGGGGACTCCATCCTGCTAGTTGCCAGGGCCACATGGCACTGTAGTTGGAGCCAGAGCTCTGCCTCTGAGGGGACAGGCTCTGAACGTAGATGTATTTTTGCAGGACCTCTCTTTAAATTTTAATCAGGCGCCATTCTTGATGTCTGCTTGAAGCTACCAGACTTCAGGGTGATGGACTGGGGGGCATGCTTTGCTTTCTATCAAGGGTGGGGTGTTGGGCTGTTGCCAGAGGCTGGCTGTGCGAGTGTGTGGGCCAGGGCAAGTGAAATTGCTACATCCCACCCCCTCTCCGGGTATCTGTGGGCTGAGAAAGACACAGCAGGTGCTGGGGAATGCGGCACATGGGTGTGGCTGCAGGCCCTATAGGGGGACAGCCAGCTGGAGGTGGTGGGGAGTGGGTGACCAGGGTCTCTGTGTCAGTGAATGCACAGGCTGGTGGCCCACAGCTTGGGCCAGGCATCATTGAGGTCCCCAGGAACAGGGACCAGGTCCAGATGGAAGAATAAAGGGGGGCACAGGGGTCTGAGTTGGGGAAAAGGGGTGTCCAGACATGTTCTCTGAGCTTTGGCTGCCGGACTGAACAGCGTCCAGGTGGGTGCTCAGCACTCACCTTGCACCAGGCGCTTGGACACTTACATGATCTCCAGGCAGGTGCTGTTATGATCTCCAGTTTACAAGCTCAAGGTCACACAGCTGCCGTGGGCACTTGAGCCCCCGGGGCTGCTCCAAGGGTTTAGTGCTGCCCTGGAGGGAGGCTGAGGCTGTGGGCCTGGCCGTGTGGGAGGAGGACAGGAAGGAAGGAAGGTGAGTACAGAGGGGTGTGGAGAGAAGGCCCGGGTCCTCAGGGGGCCTCTGCAGTGAGAAGGACACATGGGAGCCCTCTCTTTGCTCTGGGCCTCCAGCTCTTCAACAACTGATATTTGTGTACCCCACCCCTCCTGAAGGACCTTCTCATTTATTGTCTTGTTGGCTCCTCCCCCAAGGAAGCCCAGGAAGGATTCCTCCCCGTCTCTCTGATGAAAATGGGTGGCCAGAGGGGACTAAGGATGTGTTGCAGGTCACCAGATAGTATGCAGCAGCGGAGCTGGAACTCAAGCCTACAGCTCCTGGTTCCAAATCTCTTGTTTCTCTTCCCCTTTCCCAAAATAAGGGCCAGATGCGCTCTGAGGTTGAGGCCCTGGAGTCAAAGTTCAAATCCTGCTTCTGTTGCATGGCCTAGAGTCATTTGCTGGGCTGTGCCTGGGTTTCCTCTGAATAGTCCGCACTTCATGGGCTGGGTTGGCAAACCCAGAGTTGTCAGCACAGGGCTCAGCACACAGCATGTGCTCAGTAAGGCCTACTCTTCTCACTAGGGCCCTGATGAAGCCCCAGACTCGCTGCACAGGCACAGTGGGGTGTTCCAGGGATTACCACTGGCAGGGCATCATGTCTTTTTTTTTTTTTTTGAGACAGAGTCTCATTTTCTCACCCTGAGTAGAGTGCCATGGTGTCATAACTCAAAACTCAACAGCAACCTCAAAGTCTTGGGCTCAAGCAATCCTCTTGCCTCAGCCTCTCAAATAGTTGGGACTATCGGTACCTGCCACAATACCTGGCTATTTTTTTGGGGGGGGGTGTCTCACTTTTGCTCAGGCTAGTCTCGAACTTGTGAGCTCAAGCGATTCACCAGCTTTGGCCTTCCAGAGTGCTAGGATTGCGGGCATGAGCCACCGCACTCGCCCCCATATGTGTTTTGAAATTTCCCTTACTGCACACCCTTGCCTCCTGGTGCCGGGAGCCTTGGGATGTCTCTCCAGAACTTTGCTTGCTGTCACAGTCGGTGCCATCAGCTGCTTGTTAGGAAGCCACTGCTGGGGAAGCTGACAGCCAGGGCTGTTGCGCCAGCCCCTGGGGAGGAAAGGGCCGCCTCTCTGCACTCAGAGTCAAGGTCAGGCCCAGGAAGTGGTGGCTCCCAGCCCAGCTGTGACCAGGGTCAGGCATGGCACCAGGTGCCTGGCTGTGGTCTGGGGACAGCCAATGCCTATGGAACCTTCCTTTCCGCCTTTGTCCCCTCCTCCTTCTCTTTCCACTCTCTCTCTCTCACACCCACATGCAGAGAGCCAGATTTTCTTGCTAAACTACAGCTTTGCTTCTGCCAGGTTTCCGTTTGGGGAGAATGTCACAGCCGATCCACTTCCCAAGGCAGCTCCTCCTTCCACCTGCTGCCGTTTGCTACCCTGACCCTGAGCACCTGTTGCCCAGGGCACTGTCACCAGCCCTGACAGTTCTGTTCCCCATGCCAGGTCCTGTGTGAGGGGCGTTCTCATCCCTGACCTCATTTAATTTTCAGACCCTAGAACAGCGGTTCTCAACCTGTGGGTCACAACCCCTTTGGGGGTCTCCTGCATATCAGATATTTACATTACGATTCATAACAGTAGCAAAATTACAGTTATGAAGTAGCAACAAAAATAATTTTATGGTTAGGGTTAGCACAACATGAGGAACTGTATTAAAGGGTCGTGGCATTAGGAAAGTTGAGAACCACTGCCCTAGGAGATGAGATTCATTATTAACATTTATGGAAAGTGGAAAATCCAGGCTTTGAGAGGTGAAGGGACTTGACCTAGGAGCATATGGGGCAAGAGCCAGGGTGTCACTCAGTCGGTGCCTTCAAGGCAGCTCTTTGTAAGAGGCAGTATTGGCAGCAATGCTAAGAGGGTGGAGGGGACATTGACAATTTCTGCTATTTTCTTGTGCTCTCCTGGGTGTCCTCAGGCCGGGGCAGGGCCTCTCAACAGAACCCCACTTTGGGTGGAGAAGCAGGTGGCCAGAAGGGATGAAACGAAGCCCTGGCAGTGACCTAAAATGTCCACTAGGTGTCGCCCACAGTCTAGAAAGGAGTTACAGGCTGTTCCCAAAGGGTCCTGAAGTGCAGGGGAGGGGAGTGAGGGGCCTAAGTCTCCAGGGAACTGAATGGGGACCCAGGTCTGGGCAGAGGTGGCAAATTCTTATCAAGATTTAGCATAAAACACCTCCCGTGAAGGAGCTGTCAGGGCTGCTGAGGGAAGGAGAGACTCCCAGACTGTGGGACCCCAGCCTCAGAAATGTGACTCCCTGCTCCTTGTCACCCCCAGGGAGAGCCCAGATGTGCCATCCCAGATCCATCCTGTTCCCCTTCAGGGCATTTTGCTACTGTTATGAATCATATTGTAAATATCTGATATGCAGGAGACCTCCAAAGGGCATCTTGGGGACTACCATGCAGACTGGGGTTTGGCATCCAGCACCTTGGTCAGTTGTCCCCCTGCCCGGCTGCCTGAATCATTAAGGAGGGTGAGGAGGGGTACTTAAAAGTTAGCACTGAGGACTCAGAGCCCAGCCCATCACTTAAGACCTGTGTGACTTTGGGTAAGTTTCTTGCCCTCTCTGGGCCTCAGTTGTTCATCAGAAAAGAGAGGGCAGAACATTGTGGAGAGCTCCTGAGAAGAACATAGCCCTGTCATTGTTATCATTCCCCCACGTTGGACCATAGGGCCTGGGACTGGTGGCCTGGACATCACTCTTCCACCTGCTGTCTGGTGGGCAGGAAGGGGACAGGCCACACCAGATGCTGGGTTTCCGGGGAACCTGTCTTCCTCTGAGCTGGAGACACAGGAGTAAGTCACTGTGTCCTCCCTGATGCCTGACCAGGGAGCAGCCTGCAGTGGGGAGTTGAGGCAGGAGGACTTTATTAACACGAGGAGGGATTGGGAGTCCTGTGAAATTTCCTGGGGGGCTACAACACCCAGGAGTATCTACAGTGAGGTGGGCTGGGCAGGACCCCTGAGTGGCACAATCTCAGCCCCAGACATGGCCCAGACTTTCAGCAAGACAGGGTGTGTGAGGCAAGGGGCAGAGCTAGAGACCCAGGTTCCCAGGGGTGAGGGGCCACCACCCCTGAAGGAGACTCCTGGTGCCCATCCTGCTCTACCCCTGCCTGGCCAACAGCCTTGGCTCAGAGACTTGGCCAGTGAGGAGGTGGGGAGGGCAGTGTGTCAGCTGGGCCCCTGAGGGGGTTGAAAGGGAGATCTCAGTGACTGGCACACAGGGGACTGCCACGGCCAGCAGGAGGTAGGCAGAGAAGGGGCCTCCCACACATGGCAGCAGCCTCCTCTTAGTCCGGAAGGCTGGTGTTTTAGGCACAGCTGCTGGTGTGGCTTCTGGCATGTCCTGCCATCTTTGTCATATTTGACCCTCCCAGGGGAGCGTCTGCGCCCTAGGCCACCTGACTCACTGTTTGTAACCCCCACCCCCCCGCCTGCACCTCCACTCCTCCTTCTCTCCCTCCCCAGTGACAGTGTCCACAGGGGCACTGCCAGGGCAACGCCAATGTCCTGGTGTTGTTCCTGGGCTTGGGAAGAGGCAGTGGGCAGCTCTTGGCCCCTGGCCTGGCCCCGAGCCCCACCCTGCTCCATCCATCTGGTCCCCGAGCCAGACTCCTCCCCACCAGCTCTTCTCTCTCAGACCTCAGCAGGGCTAGGGAGGGATGGGAGCTGCTGGAGACCCGTGTCCACAGTGGTGCGGGTCGTAGATGCTGCAGCTGGGCGTGAGGCCCTGGCAGTAGACGTTGAGGTAGCTGCGGTGCTTCTCCCTGTAGGGCTTGTCCTTGATGCACAGAACCACGCTCCTGTCACACTCGCATGTCTGCTTGTCACACTCTGTCTTGTTGAGCTCACCTGTTGGGGGTGGGTCAGCAAAGGCTGTGGGTGAAAGGGCCACTGCTAGGGAGAGACAGGGGAACACACAGACCCTGGAAGCACAGTGGGCCTTAGAATACGGCTCCAGGGCCATCAGCACCGGCACCACCCACAGATCCCACCCCGGCCCCTGGGGTCAGCAGCTGTGGGTGGGTCCTGGCTGGTCTGTGCTGTAACAAGCCCTCTCGTGCATGCTAAAGTTCGGGAACCACTGAAGGCCAACATGGTCACTGTATTGGCAGGGAAACTCTTTATGCAGAGAGCTATAGGCCAGGCATTTTCTCCCAGCCCAGACCTCCTTCCTTAATCACAGAATCAAGGAAAACCCACCCCAGAGGGAGTTATCAGTAGGGACTGGCTAAGACAAACCTCGAGGAGCTTAGTGCCTAAGAGCCAAGCACATGCTTACTACAGGGTGCTGTTTGTTATTGCTGTGTTGTCACCACAGCTGGCAGGTGTCATCCTCAGGTGTGCATAGGCATCAGCTGGAGGGCTTGTTCAGATCAAGACCCTGGACCTCACCCCCAAGCTTCAGTTTGGTTGGTGTGGGGGGGCTGATACTGTGCCATCCTAGCTCGGTTCTGGGTGCCATGGCTGGTGCAGGGAACACCCTCTGAAAACCTCCTGCTGGCCCCAGTTGTTTGAAAACTTGGCAAACCTTCCACCAGCAGAACTCTTGAATGAAACTTGGTGCAGAAGGCTGATTTATCAAACAGCCCAAAGAGAAGCTTCTAGGTGACGCTGATGCCCCAGGTGTCCCTAGCACCCAATGTGAAAACTCCTGCTTTATTTGAGGTTAGTCCATCACCTTTGGGAGGGGGAGAATTTCTCTCCCCAAACTCTTTTCTTCTTTTGTTTTTGAGATAGGGTCTTACTCTGTCACCCAGGCTGGAGTGCAGTAGTATCATCACAGTTCACTGTTGCCTCCAATTCCTGGGCTTAAGCGATCCTCCCACCTCAGCCTCCTAAGTAGCTGGGACTCTTGGCATAAAGACCAATGGCTAAAGCTGGCCAAGACTAGATTCCTGAGCTTCAAACTGCTTTAATTAGGGGACATTCTCTCTCTTAAGCCAGCCCCTCCACCCCATTTTTGAACAGCAGAGTATGAGGACCTCTGAGCTCTAAACTCTCCAGGGAGTTAATCTGAGCCAGATTAAGACACAGAGGCAGAGAGAGCCAGTGTGCCCATGGGACTGGGGGCAGGAGGACCTCCTACATGCTCCAGAGAGGTGCATGGGGGTGAGGGCAGATACACCTGGGCCTGTTGCTTGGATGCCACTTGTCTATACTCCCCAGCTGGGCAATGGTCATGGAGAGTTCATGGTCAAGGAAGGAACCCACCAGACCTGGCGCTAATACCTTGCCTCCCTGGAAACCTCTTCTGGAGGGGGTCCCAATGACAGAACTTGAAGGGAAAGGGTCTTCTCAGTGTGCTCATTAGTGAGGAAACTGAGGCTACGTGGGAAGGATCCTGCCCAGACTCTGTACAGTTCTAGGAGACGGTGACAGTGTCTAGATTTAAATCCAGGTCTCCCTACGCCCAGGTCGGCGTGTCTCAAAGTCTCTATTGCGGAGTAACAGTCTCAGAATCACATGGGGATCTGGCTAGAAACCAGATTCCTAGACACTCCATAGACCCATGGAGTCAGAACCACTCCGCCAAGCTCTCCAAAGCTGAATGACCACAGGGACAGAAGAATTAGGGTGCCAGTGCCGGGCTCAGGCAGTTCACAGCACATCGGGAGAGTTGCTCTAACATCAGATTTAGATTTAGCAAAAAACCAAACACCAAACCAACATACAGAATGCCCGTTTCAATTTGAATTTCAGATAGATGTGTTTTACTGTATGACCTAAACATTGCACAGGACATACAGATACTAATTCATTTTCTGCTAATATTAATTGTATAACTAACATGGAATTTTTAGTATCTGTATATCCCACACAATATTTAGAACAGACTAATATTTAAATATTTGTCATTGTTTATCTGAAATTTGAATTTAACTGGGCAGCCTGTATTTACCTGGCAAGTCCGCCCATAGCCCCAGCACAGACTGGTGGGGCCACCAGTCCACCCCCTTCTCCCAGGGCCCAGCTGGCAGGAGAGGCACTCACTGCAGACTATCTCGGTGTCATTCTCAATGATGTAGTCATAGTGGTCCACAAAGGGGCGGCAGCCCTGATCTAAGAGCTTCTCGTAGCAGCAGTCGTGAGCATGGCAGCACCTAGGGGTGGGCAGAGGTGAGCAGGCAGGAGTGCCCAGGCTGGCCTTTCTCCCACCAGCTGAGACCTCTGGTCATCTATTCCAGTCCCTTACAGGTCAGATCTTCAGACTGAAGCCCAGAGAAGGGTAGTTACTTGGTCGAGAAGGGTAGTCATACAGCTGGGCAGAGCTACAGCTGGCTGGGACCTTACCGCTGACCCCCAGAGCTCCCAGCTTTCCCCTTGGAGCCCTGGATGCAGATGCAGCAGGCCTTGGTGGTCCAGCACTGGGATCAGTGTTGGAGGGGCCCTGACTATATGCAGACATCCCTGGCTGGGCCTGATGGCCAGGAAAGGACAAAGGTCTGGAAAGTCAACAGAATGGGGACAAGAAGCAGATGCAGTATGGCTGTCCCCATCACCTCTGGTGGGGTGAAGTCAATTAGTCAACATGCCTTTATTAAGCTCCCAGTGACGCCAAACTTGGTGCTGGCTGCTCTTACAGGGATCAGAACAGAAAACAAGCCATGGCTTCTGGGAGCTCCCAGTGTAACGGAGGAGGCACAGCCTGAGGGGCTGAAATACTTCCAAGTCCAAGGCCTTGGTGATGGACAACAGAAAGTGTCCAAGACAGTTGGGGAGGACATAATCAAAAATCAAGCTCCTGGTCATGAACTCATAAAACAAGCCCCATTGTCTGAAGAAAAAACCTCTCCCCTCCTCTCAGAGATGGAGGTCAATCCGGCTTTCAACCTGTCCACACCTGCCTCCCTGTAGGAGCCCAGCACCCTGACACCTACCAGTCAACCTCATCCTTGGGCTGGCCACGCCCCCCCAGCCCGCAGTAGCAGCCATAGCCCACGAAGGACAGGATGGCCTTCCTCCCAGTGACGGTTTCCACCATGTCCCTCAAGTTGAACAGGCTGCCCTGGGCTGCAGACAGGACTGTAAGAGAACAAGGGGACGCAGTGAGCCTCTGCCCCATGGTGACCTGCCCTGTCCTGAGTCTGGACTCACTGTCCTCCTGATACCCCAGGGCCAGGGGAAAGGGGAGGGACAGTGGGAGAAGGCAGAGAGAAAAGGAGGGCAGCTGAGCAGGAGGAGAGCAAAAACCCACAAAGTACCGAGTAGAGTGTGCTACCCACGTTCCCACGGAAATCCCTGCAGCCCTGAGAAAATCTCATCGCTGATATTTGCCAGGGACCTGCTCTAGGGCAGGGACTGTCCTGAGCCCCTTTCTCGAGTTAACTCACCTTGTGCTCACTGCAGCCCTACTGAGTGCTATTGTCATCCCATTTTACAGATGAGGAGACTGAGGCCGGAAGCCCTTAGTGACCAGCCCCAGGTCATGTTGTCAGAAAACAGTACAGATAGGATTTGGGCCCAGGCAAGGAAGGCTTTGCACCCACACCCTCTGCTACTTGACTATAAATCCTTCTCAAGGCCACTGCCCAAGCGCCTGGTACACCAGAAGGGGCTTTGCAAATGCCACATGGGGTTCAATTCTGGGTCCTTCCTCTCCTTTCCTGGCTTCTGCCTGGCACCTCTCCCTACCTCGGGGACTCAGGGTCCCTACTGTGGTCCTGGGGCTGATGCATCTCAAGATGAATCCGGAGACACTTTGGTGCTCCAGTCACTTAATGAAGATGCAGAAAAGGCTTCTTATTATGGGCTGGGGAGTTGGAAGAGGGACGCACAGACACAGGAAGCAGTAGTGCAAGGACACTTCCTGAACAAGCAAAGTCAACTTCACCTGGCACCTGCCACACCTGCCCTGAGGACATATTCTCTCATCTCCACAGCATCTGCCCTCTGGCCTGTGCTGGGCTCTCAGAGTCTCCCTCACATGCTCCCCGGGGCTCAGGGCTGAGTCTGTGCACCACATCTGGTGCCCACAGTCCTTACCTGAGTGAAGTTGCCACACACGCCAGCAGGAGCAGATCTAGCCCCGTTTTATGGATGAGGAAACTGAGGCTTAGAAAGGAGGGGCTTGCCCAGGTTGCACAGAGCCCAACATGGCCCCAGGTCTGCCCACCTCCGAGCTCTGATGCTAACCACCATGGAGTGTGGCCCCCGCCTCCTCCACCCTGGGCTGCTCCAGCTGCACCCGAGCTGGGTGGCCAGGTCCGCACCTGCCTCCTGCTCTGTCCTTGTCCCCATGGCCAAGAATGAGGAAATACGCAGGGAGAGGGAAGAAGGCAAGGATTTCAGAAACTGCAGGCTCAGTGGAATCCCAAAGGCCACTCCCGCTGGCATCTGGAGACACAGTGTCCGACATCTCTGGTGATGGGGAACTCACCACCTCAGTGGGGCTTAGTGAGCAGAGCACGGACTTCACAGTCCAACAGCCCCAGGGCTGTTTTCTCAGCCTACAGTGGAAGTGACAGTGTAGGGCATGGCATACACCAGTGACCTCTTTGACCTCAATTCCCAAGGGGGGATGACACCCCTTGCAGGGCACTTTGGAGAATTAAGTGTGATCACAAATGTCTGCAGAGCGCCTGGCTCAGGCAGCGCCTTGAGGAGGCCCAGTGGGGGGAGGCTCAGCCTCCCTCTCCCCAGCCTGAGAGTCCCCACCCCCACTGGCAGTATGTAAGTTGCCCTGGGGGTGGCTCTGGGCCCCAGGGTCTTCTGATCAGCAACTCCTGTGAGGCAAGAGAAGTGTGGGAAATTTACCTGCCACACACAGGTGGACACACACACACTCTCTCACATTCACCCAATTCACACACAGACACACCCACTCATCCACTCTCTTCTACACACTGAATACACTCGCACACACACTACACTCACACAGACACACTTACACACATGCTTACACACACTCACACATCACGTAGACACACACATCCCTGACACTCACACCTACATGCTACATTCACATGCAACATCCAGGGGAGCGTCAGGGGCTTGACCCCAGGCCACGTCCACACTCACACTTGGGAAGGAGAAATGAAGTCGCGTGCAATCAGGCGGCAGGCCCTGTCCCTACCCAGTGGTGAGGCTGAACTCAAGTGGTAGTTTTCTAAATAACAGGTCGCTTTCTCGGGTCCAGCCACACTGAACCTTATTTTTGTTTCTGGAGTTTCTTTCTTTTTCACAGGCCTGGCTGTGTTCAGGCAAGGTTTTAACAGGCCCCATGGAAAACCAACCAACGTTCCACCCACCCAGGCACCTGGCACCTGAATGCAAGATGTGTGGCCCAGGCTGATTTGTGTCAGGAGCCATGATGCCACCCCAGGAAAGAAGTCCCTGCCTTCCCACCACCATCTTGCACACACACACACACACACACACACACACATATGCAGATCCACACACACTCTGGAGGCCACACCACAGGGGATACACGCTTACAGAGAGACATAGCCTCGCACTCAGGCACCAACACAGACACATTTGATTGACATCCTGCACACGTGGGCATCACCATACATCAGACACACCATGCATCTCTGCACACACTCATTAAGTCCTGTCTACACAGGACTTGCACCACACAAATAGTCATTCCAGACGCCAGCAGACACCACGGCTTTGTGACAAGGCTCAGCTGGGTGCCCTGCCCCTCTGTGCCTTGTAAACAGAGTTTACAGGTAAATGCTGTGTTTACAGGTGGCTGGAGGGGTAAACAGCCCCAGAAGAGAGGAAGCCTGCAGGGCCTGGGCCCAGGGAGGGAGGTCCAAGCAGAGCCCAGGTGGCCTGGGGCTCCAGGCTGGTCAACAGAATAATTCAGGTGCAGGTGCCCCCCAGGAGACAGGCTGGGAGAGGACAGAGAGAAGCCTTTACTCACTGCAGCTGGCCAGGAGGGCGAGGGTGAGGAACTTCTTCATGCCCAGGCTAGACCTGAGAGGGAAAGAAAGCTGGAGCTGACTGGGTCCCCTCCACCTCCCAGCTGCTCCCTCTCAGGCCTCCTTATAGGCACCACCTGCACGGTCCCTCAATACCCAATAGCTGCCCCTGTTTCCATGATTGGCACCTCCCCACCCGCCCTGCCCCTCCTGGGGGAACACAGTGCAGATGGCAGAGCCAGGGGACACCGGAGCCTCCCTCCTCCCACCCTGAGCAAAGCCCCAAGACACGAAGCCCACCCTCTCAGAGCAGACTACCCCCTTCCACCCACAACCCAGGGAGGCCCAGGATAGGAAGTCACATGGGGATCGAACCCAGAGCCCAGAGACTTAGGTTCCGAATCTAGTCCTGGCTCTGCTTCCAAAATATTGTGTGACTGTGGACAGAGCCCCCAGCCTCTCTGGGCTTCAAGTGACACCAGGTTAAATGATCCTAAAGGCCTCTCAGTGCTGAAAATGCAGTGGCCTATCTCAGCTCATTACTCAGAGATACAGAGCTCTCCTCTCTGGAAAAATGGATTCTACAAGCCAGACCCTCACCCTCAGCCCTGATCCCTCCATGGAGGAGTCCACCCGGGGGCAGCAGGTACCTACCTGGAGGTTCTCAAAAGACAAGAGGTCCTGAGGTTTGAGCCCCTCCACCCAGAGGGGCATCTAACCAGCACCTTCTTCCTGAACCCTTTGGGGTTGGCCTGCGCCCCATCTGCCATGTCCTGGGTTCCAGGGGGCCAGCAACATAGGTCTCCAAAGGTCTGCGATGCCCTCCAAAGGCTCCGGGGAGCAGGCCCCAGTGTCAGGCTGCCTTGCACCCTGGCAGGGCAGTGCTAGGGCACTGCCCCTGGGCAGAGGGCAGGTGACACATGCCCTAGAAAAAGGAGGCCCCACCTCCTCCCTCCCACCCCCACGGCCCTGCCCACAGCTGGCTAGTAAAGTCCCCACCCTCAGTGTGCTCCAGCCTGCCCTGCTGCAGGGGAGGTTCATGCACCTGGGGGAGGTTCATGCACCTGCCAGGAGCTGGCCCCTCCCCAGGCATCTGAAAGGAAATTAGCCCAAAGGCCTCACTATTCCACCCCTACCTGAAAGACCTTAAAAAAATCATTCAGAGACACTTGTTGAAACAGAAGGGGGCAATCAGGATAGGTATAGGGACCACGCCAATGGGTTCTGCAGTGAGGAAGAGAGATTGCGCTCAATTCCCAGGTACAACAAGAGAAAGTGGCAACTCCTAAAGGGGAAAGTGTCTGAAAGGGACCGAAAGTTGACAAGAAGAAACGCCAGGGCTCA